AAAAAAAAAAAAAAAAAAAAAGAATTGAATGATAATTTAAAAATTCATGAATAGTCACTTGAGACTCACTTTTACGTGAGAAAGCCAAAGATTTTCCAGGCCTTCTACACAGATAGGAATGTTGAGATGAATAGTGGTTTTCCATGAAAATTTTACTCTTGCAAAGTTCTGCCTGGCTTTGGGATTACCAAGATGACAGTCTCTCAAATATAAATTATTTTTTGGTAATAATGATAGCTAATACTTAAATAGTGCTTACTATTCTAAGCCTTTATGTAATCCTCCTGACAACTTTGTTAAGCGGGTACTATTATCTCCTTTTTACAGATCAAGAAACTGGAGCACAGAGAACTTTGATATTCCCAAGTAACTCAGTATTATGCTATGGTAGGATTCTAACTAGCAAAGTCTTGACTCAAAGAGTCCATACACCTTTTTTTTTTCAGCCCTGGGGATAGAACTCAGGGCCTCAAGCTTGCTAGGCAAGCACTCTACCACTGAGTGACACAACCCCAGAGTAAACACTTTTAACTACAAAATAGTGCATAGCATCTGTACTGATAATCTGGGAACTTTTTAAGTCTCTTCTCATTTTAAGAAGAAATCCATCTGAGAGAAGACTTAGCATAAAAAGTTATTTCAGTTTTAGAAAGGGGTATGCTTTTTTTAATAAGGTAAGTTTACATGTAGTGAATTTCACAGATCTAAAGAGTTTTGACAAAAGTGTACACCAGTGTAATCTAAAACTCAGTTAAGATATAGAACATTTCCATCATATCAGAAAGTTCCCTGATGCCCCCTGCAGTCAATCCCACTTCCATCTTCAACCATTCCTCTAGTGTTTATATTGCTTCATTGTTTTGCCTATTTTTTCTTTCTTTCTTTCTTTTTGATACCATGGAATAAACCCAGGGGCTCTTAACCCTGAGCCACATCTCCAGCTCATTTTATTTTTTATTTTGAGACAGGGCCTCGCTAAGTTGCTGAGGCTGGATTTCAATCCTCCTTCCTAGCCTCCCAAATACCTGGGATTAACAGATGAACACCATTGCACCCAGCTATTGTGTATGTTCTTAATGTCCTATAAGTGAATATACAGAATCAAATAGTTGTGCCCCATGTGGCTTATTTTGTTCAACATATGCAAATAAAATCTAATTCAAATATTATAGTTGGCTCATTTCAAGACTAGGGATGTAGCTCAGCAGTGGAGCACTTGCCTGGCACCCGTGAGGCACTGGGTTCAAGCCTCAGAACCACATACAAATAAATAAAATAAAAGAATCCTGTTCATGTACAACTTATTTTTAAATAAATCATCTGGTCATTTCATTTTTTTCAGAGAGATCTGTTTTACCTTATAAAGGAATCACGAGCTTTTTCATTCTCCTACTGTATAGTAATAAAATCAGTTCATAAACTACTTCTTTATTTATAGTAGTAACTACCTGGTATTAAGTAGAATTCTTTTTAGAATTAGACCATATTAATTCCTAATCTAATTAGTTTCAGGAAATAATTAAAATACATACCTAGATTGTAGTAGAAACTTGCATCTTTCTATCCATTTTTAGTCTTTATTTCACTTTCCTCTCTGGGTTTTCTGCTTGGCCAAGAAAATATGAAAATCATTCTTCTTGCTCTCTTGAGAGTCCCCAAGTCCTGAATGTCTTGGAAGAATTTTACTTCTTGGCTGCAGAGTCTTGGAACTGCTTATGAGACTTTGCTACTTGAAAAGTCCAGTTTTATGACATTCAGGCTTTTGACTGGTTAAATAAACTTGTTAGAAAAGCCTGCCCATCCATAATTGATTTCACATGACAAAATAATGACTTTGTTTCTTAATACTTTACAATTTGACAGAGTGCCAGAATGTCTATTCAGAAACAGCTTTATCAGAAGAAATTCAGGTCAGATTGACTATAATACTTAGTTCTGTGATCAAAGGCCACTACAACTGCCAAGTTGACTTCTAGGGCTTAAAGTTCATTGCTTTATCACACCTTTCCCCCCCACCTCCTTCAAATGAAAAGAAAAGATATCTTTATCCTGGGTAATTTTTCTGTTGCCACAGAGTTCTTTATTACTTGGAGATTTTGAAACTTTGGAAACATTTAGTTAATGATCACTCTCTGGTATTGATAATTTGTAGACTTGGGAAAGTATAGCCAGCAGTTTCAACATTTCTCATGTAGTCGTTTGTGTGAAATTGGATTTGACAAATAAAGGAATGTTTTAAATGGTGTGAAAGATTGTTTTCCAATCCTACTTTGGTTTCAAAATAATTATTTATTTTTCAGAAATTACTTCTTGATATCTGTTAATGTATACTCTGTTGTTAATGAAAATGAGATAATAATTTAATGAAATTATTAAAATTATGAATTTCTTTCTGATCAGAATTCTTTTGTTGGGGGATGAACCCAGGGCCGTACACATGCTAAAAGCACATGCTCTACCACTGAATTTTTTTTAGACACAAAATGAATTGATTTTTTTTTCTTAAAGCAAATTTTAGGAAAAGAAGAAAGTGAAATAGCAAAAAAGAAAAGGTCAAATAATCCACAATTATAGTCAGACTCTGCTTTTATAAAAAAGTACTCACTGCTTGAGTAAAGTAGGAAATTTTCAATGTTGGGTAATAGTAGCAGGCTTAACATGAATAGTTATCAGAGACTTAAGATATTCTTCAGCTCTAGTACAAAGTCCAGTATTCTACCTGAGAGTCCTAGAGAACTCCTAGCCAGCTCAGTCTTAAACATTTTTTTTGATATGAGTTCCTTTCCAGCCCTCTGTATTTGCCTGGTTCAGACTGGCCTGTAAGGCCCTCAGTTATCTCTTCTGTTTCTTGTCAACTTCAATAATAACTATGTAAACTTTTTTCTTTTATACAGTCTAGAAAATTAAAATTATTTTTATTAAACGTATACTACAGAATTTGATCACATTTGCTGTTTTACATAAGTAAAAGAACTGGACAGTTCCAAAGTAATCATAAACAACTGAGTTGCATGTGCTAAACTGGATTTCTAAGAAAATTCAAAGGTCTTCTTTGATCCAGCAATTTCTCTGCTGGGACTATCCCATAGGAACATAAGTCATGAAATTACCAAGATATAATTACAAAGAAGTTTATTATAGCAGCAGAAAACTAAGAACAATATGAATTCCTACCAGTATAGAGCTTGCTCTAAAAGTTGTGCTATTCAAAAATGTTTTGGAGACATCAAGCAGATCAGATGGATTGAAGCTATACCAGATGACTCAGAGGGAAGGATTTCCATTGATATGGTGTTATATTAGAAAAGCAAGATACAGAAAAGAGTGTACAATATTGCATTTTTGTCAAACAATAGTGATTAAAAAAACATTGTGTATTCATAATTATGTGAGTATTGAGAAAAGTAAAGAAGGATACATATTAGTTTACAGATATGGGTGGGGTGCTGATGTAGGTAGTATAGGGAAGAAGGAGCCAATGAAGGAAAGGAGAAAGATATTTAGTGAAAGATTTCAGTAAGATGTGATTACATTTATGCATAACTATGGGAAATATATATAGAGAGAAATAATTGCCTTTTAAAATAACTCAAAGGATAAGATATGATTACATTTTTACTTAATTATAGGATACATGTCTAGAGATGTGTATATATATAATTTGTATATAAGTATATAAATTATAAATTTATATAAGTGTGTATATTATATAAATTTAAAATAGTTACCTTTTAAAAAAAATAACTCAAAGGGTTAAATCAGCATGATCTGGGTTGATCAAGAAAGCATTTTAATGAGAACAATCTAAAAACAAGCTTACAAATGTTTTAAGCCAAGATCTTAGAGGGAATTAGTATGGAGGGATAAAATTTCAGAAAGGTAACACATTGTGAACAAGGTAACATTGTAAACAAGGGAAGAATAGATTGGATTTAACTAAGAGAAAAGAAGGAATTAGTTGTAGAATAACTGGAGAAATTATTAGAATAAAGTTGGCTGAATCATCAAAGATCATATATTGTGCAGTGACCTATATATGAAATCTCTGCAAAAAGGCAAATCCCAATACAAAAATAAATTAGCGGTTGCCAATTAGTGGAAGGCTTTGGAAAAAATGGGGAGTAACTGCTCTTAGACATGAGGTTTCTTTTTGGATTGATGAAATGTTCTAAAATTAACAATATAGTGACTATGTTTAACAATATATTATGTTGTTGAAAAATGCTGAGAGTGGATATAAAGTATTTCTACCTCAAAAACTGATAACTATGTGAGGTAATATGTATGTTAATTCACTAGATTTTTTTCATTCCATAATGTACATATGATTTAAAATATGTATACACAGAAAATATATATAATTCTATCAACTTTAAAAATAGATAAGTTAAAAAATTGATTGTGCAATCTACATCTGAACCACAATCCCAACCCAACCTGGCTTATCGTCTTAATACCCTGTGTGCTGTGAGGGGATGTAGCACAAATAGAAGAAATGAACTTGAGTATCTTCACCTAATATTAAACTGCCTTAATACTTTGGCACTGTAGACATGCAAAGTATCACTTGCATTTGTCATTTCTAGGGGAGGTGACACCAGGACTATCTCAGGTGGAATATGCACTTCGTAGACACAAACTGATGTCTCTGATCAACACGGAAGCACAGGAGCAAAGTGGGACAGACCAGACGGTGGTTGTGCTCTCCAATCCTACGTACTACATGAGCAATGACATTCCCTACACTTTCCACCAAGACAACAATTTCCTGTACCTCTGTGGATTCCAAGAGCCTGATAGCATTCTGGTCCTTCAGAGCCTGCCTGACAAGGAGTTACCATCACATAAAGCCATGCTTTTTGTGCCTCGGAGAGACCCCAGTCGAGAACTTTGGGATGGTCCTCGATCTGGCACGGATGGAGCAATAGCTCTAACTGGAGTCGATGAAGCCTATACGCTAGAAGAATTTCAACATCTAGTACCAAAGCTGAAAGGTAACAAATGGGAGCAGAAGTCAAGTTACAGGCCAGGTTGGGATTAAGACCCTTCCTTGCCTACAGAGTTTTAACTTTTCTAAAATAATTACCATAGCAGCATTTCCTCTTAGTGCTGTGAAGGAGACCTAAGTGTTCTCCAGAAAACTGAGCTACTTTAAAGACTTCATCCATTTGTTAAATCTTGACTAGGTCATTCCTTTTTTTTTTTTTTTTTTT